TAGCGCTCTACCACTTGAGCCACAGCGCCACTTCCGGCTTTTTGCTTATGTGGTGCTGAGGAATCGAACCCAGGGCCTCTGGCATGCAAGGCAAGCATTCTACCACTGAGGCACCTTCCCAGCCCCAGCTTTTTTTCTTTTGAATACTTCCATTATATTCTTATTGTTGTAATAGTGCAGAAACTAAATGCTTCTAAAACCCATTGCTCAAAGTGGGATCCTCACTGTGACTTGCTCTGGACCGGCAGATTCTGGATGATGAAGCAGCTCAGGAACTGATGCCCGTGATTGCGGGTGCCGTATTCACTCTGACCGCCCACCTCAGCCAGGCCGTGCGCACAGAACAGAAGCAGCCTCTGGGCTCAGGCCCCAGAGACACCCAGTATGCCTTTATGCTTGATGGTTCCTTCGCCTCACCTCTACCAACTGAGGGTCCCCTCATGGGGTTTGCTTCAATTGGAGATTCTTCACTTCACATCATATTGAAGAAACTTTTAGACTTCATTTTGAAGACAGGTATGCCCCCACTCCCAAACACGTATAAATTACAGCTTTGTCATTGTTTTAACTTTCCTTCAACAAAGACTTTTACTTGACTACATTTTTGTGCTCTCTACAGGTGGTGGATTCCAACGCGTGAGAACTCACCTGTATGGCTCTCTGCTTTATTACTTACAGATTGCTCAGAGACCAGACGAACCAGATACCTTAGAAGCTGGTAAGAATACAATGATTCCTAACTTACTTGGTTTTTACAGATGGTTACATTAAAAATAAAAACCAGGCTGGGCATACTTAGGAAGCTGAGATCTGAAAATTGCAGTTCAAAGCCAGCCTGGGCAGGAAAGTCCATGAGACTCTTACCTTCAATAAAAAATGTCAAAAATGGAGCTGTGGCTCAAGTGGTAGAGTGCTAGCCTTGAGGAAGGAAGTCTAGGGACAGCAGCTAGACCCTGAGTTCAAGCCCTAAGACCAGCACATGCACAAGAAAAATCAGGTTGGACACAGTGGCTTACACTTGTAATCCCAGCTACTTGCGGAGGATTGTAGTTTGAGGACAGCCTCAGGATCGGAGAATAATCTTAGTGAGACTTATCTCAACAAATGAGCCTAGCATGATAGTGCACTACTGTCATCTCAGTATTTGGGTGGTATAGGTAGGGGGATCACCACGTGAGGCTGGCCCTAGTCAAAAGTTAGATCCTGTAAGCAGGGGGAAGAAAAACTTAAAGCAAACAAAAGCTGGAGGCACAGTTTAAGTGGTAGAGTCCTTGCTAGGTCCTGAGTTCAAATACCAATACAGAAAAAATAATTTTCATCTTTTGGCTAAACCCAGTTATAATCATTGAGCCTTCATATAATCACCAGTGTACTCTATAAAGACGAAGTTACTTGTTTAGTATTTAAGAATTACAAAGACGAGTGAGTACTATAAGGAAAAGAAACCCTTAAATAGTTTAGCTTTATATATTTTGTTTCACTTACCTCCAGCCCCATTGAGCACTTCAAGAGTACATGTGTACTTGATGCTCTTAGCAAGGTGTTATTAATCATAGCACTCGAGAGGCAGATAGTTCTTTCTGCAGTAGACCCTAGAATTCAGGGCTAGCCTGGGCTATATAGTGAGGCTTTGTCTCAAAAAGCAACAATGAACAATTTGCAAAGGCTGCTGTCTCAAGTGCAATTAGCATGTTAATTTAGAATAAAATTGTGGAATCTTTGATTGCCAGGCATGAAAAAAGTTTCAAACTGTAACAGATCTGTGTGTATGGTTTTCTGTCAGTCATTTTGTTATTTATTAAGAATTTGGCAGAAGGCACTTCTGATAATAGACTTAATGTGTCCTTCTTTAGAGTTTGTTATTTTTGAAAAACACTGTTTAAAAATCTACTTTATCTCATTTTAGTCTTACTGTGATTATCTATTACAGGTAGTTCCTTATAAATTAACAATAGCCAAATGGTAGATTTATACAAGTATATTGCCCACTTATTGTCTCTGAATATATTTAAGGTTAGTAAAAATAGCCAACTAGTTCAAGGGAGTTTTTAACCAAAAATCAATCCTCTTAAAAATAAATAATACCTAGTGTTACTGGGAGCTATATCAGTAATCCTAGCTACTCAGGAGGATCATGGTATGAAGCCAGACGGGCAGCAAAGTCCATGAGACTCTTACCTTCAGTTAACCAACAAAAAGCTGGAAGTAGAGCTGTGGCTCAAGTGGTAAAGTGCTAGTCTTGAGTAAAAAACACACACACACCCAAGTGTATGGGTTTTTCTCTTTCTTTTTCTTTTTCTTTCTTTCTCCTTTTCTTTCCCTCTTTCTTTCTTTCTTTCTTTCTCTTTCTTTTTGGTATCTTTTTAATCAAGTTAGCAAAATTATTACCAAGCAGAATATTGTACACATTCTCTAAGAGAGTAAAAATAATAATTTATCCATCCATCCATTCTAGGGCATCACATTATTTGGTTTACAAGAGTCTTACTGGAATATATTATCATACTAGTATCATTGTACATTTAAATTGCCTTTATAGTTGATGTGTTTTTTTTTTTTGATGTCAGAGCTGGGGCTTGAACTCAGGACCTGAGAGCTGTAACTTAGGTTTTGTGTTCAAGACACTTGAGCCATAGCTCCACTTCTGGCTTTTTACTTGTCAATTGGAGGTAAGAGTCTCATGGACTTTCCTGCCTATACTGGCTTCAAACCTAGACCCTCATTTCAGCCTCTTGAATAGCACCCAATCCTCTGGCTTGAATTCAGGGCATGAGCATTTTCCCTTATGCTTTTTTTGGGAAAGCACTGTACCACTTGAGCCACAGAGCCACTTCCAGGCTTTTCTGTTTATGTTGTGTTTGAGAAATTGAACCCAGGGCTTTGTGCATGCTAGGCAAGCACTCTGCCACTAAGCCACATTTCCAGCCCATCCAGCTCTAGTTCTAATAAGTATTTCAGATTAAAATGGATTTTGGCGGGAGAAGATTTCCTTTACATTGTACTCGAGTACCTGATATACCTGATCTTTTCTAGTTAAATTCTCAAAGCTCTTAATAAAAGATAGAAGCAGATAATTTAACAGGATGAATATAGTGCACAGTTAATTTAAATTTCCTAAAGAATACCTTGTCCATTTCCTGAAACTGTTGTTAATTTAAAGTACATGCATAATGTATATGGGCTATTTTCTTAAAGTTCACTTGCATGGTCTCTGGGTAGTGGCTCTTTGTTAAATATAATAATTGAAAGGATGTTTATGTTACTTAGATATAATCTACTCAGTTACTAAACCAATTCTGTTTCAGCAATCAAAGGATTGCCTGCCTGTCCTTCTTTCTTCCCTCCTTCCCTTCCTCTCTCCCTCCCACCTCTTTTCTTGTTCCTTTTCCCCTATCCCTCTCTTCTTTTTTCTTTCTTCTTTCCTAGGGTTTGAATAAAGTTTTGATCACACATAGCTAGTGCTCTTCCACTGGAGCCATGTCTCTAGCATTAAGCTATGTTTTATTGAATTCCTTTTTTTATTTTAACCCTTTTAGCTAAGAAAACCATGTGGGAAAGACTGACAGCCCCTGAAGATGTTTTTAGTAAATTACAGCGAGAAAACATAGCTATAATTGAGAGTTATGGGGCTGCCCTCATGGAAGTGGTCTGTCGAGATGCTTGTGATGGGCACGAGATTGGAAGGGTAAGGTAGTTTTCTTATGAATAATTATTCTGTCTTTATGACGGTATAAATGGGATCAGTGTTCAAATTGTATGCTGAGAATGATTTTCCATACTATTTTATAGTGAATTTGTTTATTTGCTTTAATTATACACTTGTGTTATTTTGTTCCTTTCTATTTTGTTTAATTCTGTTTGGAATTTTAATTAACTCAGAATTTATCCTGAGAATTTGTTATTTTTTTGGCCACATTTTTTTGTTAGCTTTAATTACTTGTATAGGAGGATTTTCTTTTCTATAATTTGAGATTGCTGTTAAAACAACAGTTGTAGAAAGAACAGTATTCTCCTTAAAAAACTATCTTTAGTTAACAGACTGCTGGATGAATTACTTTTACACTGAATATATTTTTCTTTGCCCTAGTGGTTTGTATAGGGGAACTTGCATTTATGTTTCTTTAAAGTGTCTTGGCATACTGATAAAATCATGTTTTTAAAAAACAATTTTAAGAAGTAGGATTAAAATACAAACTAGCAATCTCAATTATGTTAAGCTTTCTAAAACATTTTTATGCATAGAATAAACACTGGGAAAAGATAGACTAAATGCTTTAATTATATTTATTAGATTATGTATTTCTTTTTTTTTTTTTCCCTTTGTTTTGGTGCCAGTCCTAGGTCTTGAATTCAGGGCCTGGGTACTGTCACTGACCTCTTTTTGCTCAAGGCTAGCATTCTATTACTTGAGCCACAACTCTACTTCTGGTTTTTTTTGGTGGCTAATTGAGATAAGCATTTTATGAACTTTCCTGCCTGGGTTGACTTTGAACCACAATCTTCAGATCTCAACCTTCTGAGCAGCTAGGATTACAGGTGTGAACCACCATCTCCAGGCCTTTTCTTTTTCTTTCTTTTCTTTTTAAGCCAGATTGGGGCTGAAATTCAAGAGTTTTGAGCTTTCATGTGACTTTTCTGCTCATGGCCTTTGGTCTACTTGAGCCACACCTCCAGTCCAGCTGGTTAATTGGAGTAGAATCTCACAGACTTTATTGTTTGAGGTGGCTTTCAACCTTGACCTTCAGGTCTCAGCCTCCTGAGTACCTAGGATTTCATATGTAACCTGCTAATTCCTGGTAGGTTATCACATAATATTTTAGAAATAACGGCTTTTTTTGTTTTGTTTAGAAAAAAAAACAAGTCCTTTTCTCTTTTAATAAATAATGTCTGGGTTCAGCTAAAATATACTTAGTGTCATTATTTTAATGTGTTAGTTTTGTTACTAAAATACAACTTTACCCTGAAAAGTTTTAATTTTATTAACAAATCAAGATTCTGAATATTTACAGTTTTAAACTTCTCAAATAATTAAGGAAATTCTATGAGAAGCAACCATTTTCCTTGTTAGAAAAGATCTGAAGATCTCCAGATAAAAGGCAATGACTGTGGTTGATTTTGATAGTTACCAGCATGTTTGGAACTGGATTAATTCGTTTTTTTTATATTTAGATGCTGGCCCTGGCTCTTCTTGATCGGATTGTCTCTGTGGATAAGCAGCAACAGTGGCTTTTGTATCTCAGTAACAGTGGCTATCTGAAGGTCCTCGTGGACAGCTTGGTAGAAGATGATCGTAATTTACAGAGCTTACTCACTCCACAGCCTCCTCTTTTAAAGGCCCTTTATACTTATGAATCCAAAATGGTAAGACTACATGGAATGTGATGTGAGAGCATCAGCTTATTTCCTTTGGGGTCTGTAAGTGTATTAAGGAAAACTAATGTGCATGTTTTGACTATCTGTTATATCAGCTGTGATCATTTTAAAGGAGTTTTAATCTGTTTGAGGAATGTATTTTATGAGCGTGTGAAAGGTGTCCTGAGTGATCCTGAGTGGAGGGTTCATTGGATAAGGGACTGCTTTCTCCCTGGTAGTGTTCCAAGAAGTGAGGAGAGAACCATCAGGTTACTACCATAGTTTTGACTAATGAAAATTCCATTTTACTGTTTCTACTTTTTTTTTTCTGCTTCTGGGGCTTGAATTCAGGGTCTGAGCACTGTCCTGTCCCTAAGCTCTTTTGCTTAGGCTAGCTCTCTACCATTTGAGCCACATTTTCACTTCTGACTTGTTTGGTAGTTATCTCACAGACTTTCTTGCCAGTCTGGCTTCAAACCGTGATCCTCAAATCTTCTGAGTAGCTAGGATAATAGATGTGAGCCACTGGTATCTGGCGTCTATATATTTTGTTTTTGTTTTTGCTGGTCTTGGGGCCTGAACTCTGGGCCTGAGCGCTGTCCCTGAGCTTCCTTTGCTCAAGATGAGCACTCTATTACTTGAGATACAGCACCAATTCTGGCTTTTTTTGAGTAGTTTATTGGAGATATGAGTCTCATTGAATTTCCTGCCCGGGCTGGCTTTGAACCATGATCGTCAGATTTCAGCCTCCTGAGTAGTTAGGATTACAGGCGTGAGCCACAGCACCTGGCTATACTTTGGTTTTTTTAAAAAAATAAATTGTTATTAGTAAGGAATTATACAAAGGAGTTATAATTCCCTAAATCAGGTAATGAGTATAGTGCTTCTTGGACAGGTTACCCATTCCTTCACTTCCCCCAATTTTCCTTTTTTGTACTTTTGAACATAGGCTTTTAAACACTTGATTATTTTCTTCCCTTCAAATCTGTTTGTTTCATATTAAACTTAAATGTCACAATTGATGGACGCACTGAAATCTTAGATTGTTCTCGAATTCTTGTTTCTGTCTTTGTTCATTTTTTTTTTCATGTATTTAGTAAATGCCACGTACCAAATAGAGATCAAGGTACTAGAGATACAAGCTATGAACAAGAGAGACACGACCCTGCCTCTGTAAGGGCAAATGGTGAAGACAGAAACTAGAGTTTTAACTGGATATTAATTCATTCAAGGCACCATGTGTAGGCATGTATTACTGAGTGCTCATGAACATCTTTTGAGGAGGGAAGTGTATGTGTAGCTAGCTCAGAACTTCTCTTCATTGGTGACCAAAGGTGGGCAATATGCTGTGAAAGTTGTCATTTTTACATGAAGCCCTTGGGATATGACTTCTGTAGTGACAGTTTTCCTTCCATAACTCTGTAGGCCTTTCTCACAAGAGTGGCTAAGATACAGCAGGGCTCTTTAGAGCTACTAAGATCTGGGGTGATTGTGAGACTAGCACAATGCCAAGTCTATGACATGCGGCCAGAAACAGACCCACATGGGTAAGTATCCATATAGATTAGTTTGGTTAAATGCCCAGTAAAGGGTTCATGAAGGTGAAAAAAAGCCCAAATATAATTTGGCTACCGGTTTATAGCTCTGTCATTTTTTATTTATTTTATTTATTTATTTATTTATTTATTTTTGGTTGTTTATATGTGTTATCACTTGCTAATAAATACAAGTTGCTGATGAGGGTAAATAGTAATAAGTAGGTATCTGGTAAGACTTCTAATTTTTATAGTTCCATAGAAATACATATTTTACAGAGGCCTTAAAAAGGCCTATAATACTATAACCATATGTAATACTGTATAACTGTAAATACTTGAAAGTATTATGGTAAAAGTATGGCTTGTTGCTGTGTGGTCCCTCAAACCTGTAATCCCAGTGCTTGGGAGGCCGAGGCAGGGAGAACATCATTGTGAGTCTACCCAGTGTGGCCCTATCGTAAAAAACAGAAAAAATGATCATTTGTTGTAGATTTCCTTTTCATGGTTTGAGTAGATTTTTTTGAGTTTATATGTATTTTTCTCATTTTAATATTTTGCCTGTTGCTTAGGTTCTAACTTCAAATAAAATTATTTTCAAGCTTCAAGCTTTTCAGCAGATTCTTAGTTCAATTTGAATGGAGAATTCTGTTATATTTATTTATTTATTTATTTTTGGGTCCGGTTGTGGGTCCTGAACTCTGGGCCTTAGTGCTGCTCCTCAGCTCTTCAGCTCAAAGCTAGCGCTCTACCACTTGAGCCATAGTGCCACTTCTGGCTTTTTTTTTTCTGCTTATGTGGTGCTAAGGAATCAAACCCAGGTCCTTATGCATGCAAGGCAAGCGCTCTACCACTGAGCCACCTTCCCAGCCCTAGAATTTATTTTTTTGTCTACATGACTACAGCATTATGTGTTCTACAACATTCCCTTCTAATAAATGACTTGGTAGTAGGTTTAGCAATTATTTAGAGAGGATTCATTGACAAGTTAAATGTTTGACTTTCCCCAAGCTTAACTACATGACTATATTATTTTAGGAGGAGGAAAATTGTTTTTGACATTGCTTACTAAGGTTTAAAAGATAAAAATTACTAAGCCGGGCGCCAGTGGCTCACACCTGTAATCCTAGCTACTCAGGAAGCTGAGATCTGAGGATCACGGTTCAAAGCCAGCCCTGGCAGGAAAAGTCCATGAGGTTCTTTTTTTGGGGGGGGGGTTCGGTTGTGGGGCCTGAACTCTGGGCCTGGGCGCTGTCCTTCAGCTCAAGGCTAGCACTCTACCACTTGAGCCACAGTACCACTTCCGGCTTTTTTCTTATATGGTGTTGAGAAACCCAGGGCCTCGAGCATGCAAGGCAAGTGCTCTATCACTGAGCCACCTTTCCAGCCCCTCCATGAGGTTCTTATCTCCAATAAACCACTAGAAAACTGGAAGTGGTGCTGTGGCTCAAGTGGTAGAGTGTTCGCCTTGAGCTGAAGAGCTAGGGATAGCGCCCAAGCCCAGAATTCAAGCCCCATGACCAAAAAAAAAAAAAAAAGATGAAAGTTACTGTTTTCACTAACATAAATACGTTCATGGTATATCATCACTTGTCTCTGCAAAGCCTTTCTTTGCTATTTTTTTAAATTAAATTTTTTAAATTGGGGCTGGAAAGGTGGCTCAGTGGTAGAGTGCTTGCCTCACATGCATGAGGCCCAGGGTTCAATTCCTCAGCACCACACCACATAAGCAGAAAAAGCCAGAAGTGGGGCTGTGCCTCAAGTGGTAGAGTGCTAGCCTTGAACTGAAGAGCTGAGGGAAAGCAGTCAGGTACCAGAGTTCAGGCCCCACAACTCACAAAAAAAAAAAAAAAAATTTTTTTTGTTTTTATAAAGGTGTTGTACAAAGGGGTTACAGTTACATGAGTCAGGTAAAGAATACATTTCTTTCTGGATAGTGACAACCCCTCCTCTGCTTTCCCAGTTTTCCCCTCCCATCCTCATCCACAAGTTAAGTAGTTCATTTCAACATGTGGTATTTCTTTTTATATTCTGCTTCTGTTTCCTCTCAATAGGTACCTAGGCAGCTAAAACCTAATCTTAAAGGCTTATTTTATATGAACCTTACTTTATTTTCTATAATGGACTAGTTTAGAGTTGTTTTTAGCTTGGGTATAAGAGAAAGAAATTCAAGCTAGCACTCTATCACTTGAGCCACAGCTCCACTTTCCAGTTTTTTAGTGGCTTATTGGAAATAGGAGTCTCACAGACTTTCTTGTCCCGGCTGGCTTTGAACTATGATCCTCTTGAGTAGCTAGGATTACAGGCATAAGCCACCAATGTGCTAGGCAGAAAGTAGCTTTGTGTTATGTATTTCTTACAGTCTCTATCATTAACCTAGGCACTAGTGGCTCCATGACTATAATCCTAGCTACCTGGGAGGTAGAGATTGATTAGAATATAGTACAAAGCCAGCCTAGGAAAATCTAACTAGATAGAGCTAGTAGGAATGGAGATATATCTAGCTATAGAGCACCTGTCTAAAACACACAAAGCCCTAGTTCAAAATTTGATTGTTTCCAAATTCAAATACCCCTGTTTTTACTAAGCTAAATGTTTAGAAAAGGTACGGATTTCTTTGAACCTTCAATGTATATTAGAATGCAGAGTACCCATTAATGTGTTTGCATCTTAGTCAGCTGTCTATGATTCATGTGCCACGTAAATGGTAAGGGGATGCTAAGAACATACTTTTATTTTGTAATGTTGTTCTCTCTGGTTGAAATTAATCAAGTGTGTTTGGCGTGAGAGATCCCCCAATGTTCATCCCTACACCTGTGGATCGCTACCGTCAGATTCTGCTTCCAGCTCTCCAGCTGTGCCAGGTCATTCTTACATCCAGTATGGCCCAGCACTTGCAGGCAGCAGGGCAGGTAAGATAAATCTTTTGCTTAGAAACCATGTAATGATGGAGAGGTTGGTTTGGGACGGATGAAGGAGAATAATAAAAGGGGTGACATCAATTAACATTCATTGTATTCATAAACTAACTTCTTGAATGGTAACCCCTTTGAATAACTACTTAAAGATTAAAAAATGTAATTAAGTTTCTACTTCTAATAAATTTTTGTTGTTGTTGTTGGTTGTGGGGCCTGAACTCTGGGCCTGGGCGCTGTCCCTCAGCTCTTCAGCTCAAAGCTAGATCCTACCACTTGAGCCACAGTGCCACTTCCAGCTTTTTTCTCTTATGTGGTACTGAGGAATAGAACCCAGGGCCTCATGTATGTTGTGAGGCAAGCACTCTACCACTGAGCCAATGTCCCAGTCCTACTTCTAATAAATTTTAAGTGAAAGATAAATTCAGCAAAAATAAACCATGTAATGCAAAATCCTCCTAGAAATGCAGGAGTCTTGTGAATAGAAAATTTAAATGAATTCATTGTAATCCTACTGTTTTTAGCAGAGATAGGCTCCTTACCCTTGACTGTGAACTACATGCTCATTTTTGTGTTCTTACATGAATGAAACATAAAATGAAACATATGTATGAATTAATAGAATCCTGACATAGAAAGCAAGCAATCAAAATGTGTGCCTCTGGAAAAGAAAACAATGAGCGTGGTGCCATACTCCTAAAATCCTATAACTTGGGAGTAACACAGGCGATTCATACTTTTGAGGCCAACTTGGACTGCATGAATCTAGTGTTTTTGTTCAATTGCTTTGTTAGACTGTGATGCCCTCAGGTACTATGTCCTGTCAACTTTCCCTGCCATTAGACTCAGACCTATCTTACCAGGGCTGCTGCTGCTGTTTCTTTCCTCCCTGTTTTCTTTCCTCCCTCCCTCCTTGCTTACTTACTTCCCTCCCTTTTCGATATCCCTCCCTTCTTACTTTCCTTCTTTACTGGGATTTGAACTCAGGGCCTGGGCGCTATCCCTAAGCTTTTAGCTCAAGGGTAGCTCTACATAGCTCCACTTCCAGCTTTTTCAGTAGTTAGAGATAAGAGTCTCACTTATTTTTCAGTCTAGGCTGGCTTCAAACCTTGATCCTCATATCTCAGCCTCCTGAGTACCTAGAATTATAGGTATGATCCAGCAATACTGGGCACCACCATAGGCTAAGTGACATTTTACCCCATTCACACATAAGTACTCTTTGGAAAAGACTTCCAGCGTTTTTCTTTAAGACTTTTAAAGTAGAACTGGGATATTGACACAAGATATTGGTTCCCTGGTGCCAGTTTTGTATTGACTAGCAGAATCACTTACAAAACATCTTTAAAAAGAGTTTGGATTGCTTATCTCCACATACATCAATTATGGACTGAGGCTGAGAGTGTTATGGAAAAATTAAGGTGGACACAGTTCCTCGGGTGCTCAGCTTGCTTTGGGTTAGTCTGTAGAGCCTGCAGACTAGTTGAAATGTTTCTGTGTGAAAGTTCTGGGAGAATCCTGTCTCCATGGTGGTGTGCTACTGATTGCCAAAGGAAAGGCCAGAGTTCAGAGGTTAGCATTTATGACTCCTTTGTTCTTACCACATCAAAAGGAGAGTGAGGCAAGAGATTTTATGCACTGTCCCTAGGTCACACTAGTCAGATGTTATAAGAGCACTTCTTGGCCATTTTCCACTCATTTAAAATTTTTATTTAATTTAAACACTAAAAGAAATAAAATAAGTATTTTTAGTCATTATTTCCAAGTTATGTTACATTTTTCTATTTTTCTATAAAAGCCTCTACATGTATTAGCTTACAGACCTTGAGATAGTTCTCTTTAGCTTTCTTACAAATTTTAGTTCCTTTAGTTAGTTCTCTGAAGTAAACTATTCAAGACAAGAAACACTTGGTTTTCTTATTCTTCCTCATAACACTGAATTGTTTGCTTCAACATTACTGAAAGATGAATTGATCTGTTTATAATACAGTTTTCTATTCTGACCTCTGTTTCATCTTGGTCCTGATCCTTGGCTCAGGTGTTGCAGTTTCTCATTTCCCATTCTGATACCATACAAGCAATCCTTCGCTGTCAGGATGTGAGTGCTGGCTCTTTGCAGGAACTGGCTCTGCTGACAGGCATTATAAGTAAAGCTGCACTTCCTGGTAAGTTGTGTTGAATGGAATTAATATGTCTTTAGAGAATGCACATAAACAATAGAATGAAGTTTTTAGTTACTTTGTAGTTATCTTTGGCTTCATATGAAATTAGTACTGCTGAGCCAACTGCCTTTATATCATGTTTATATTTATAAAAATAATGTTATGTGAACTGAATGCTGGTAATCCTAGTTACTCAAGAGGTTGAGATTTTAGGATTATGGTTTGAAGCCAGCCGAAGCAGAGAAGTTTGCAAGATTTCCAATAAACTACCCAGAAAAAGCCAGAAGTAAGGCTGTGCTTCAAGTCATAGAATGCTGTCCTTGAGCAAAAGTAGCTCAGAGTTAGCACCCAGGCCTTTAATTCAAGCTCTAGGACTGGCACACAAAATTATTTGCTTATGAAAGTTGAAAAAATTTCAAGGAAAATAATTAATACATTCAAAAACCTCATTACCTAGAAACGATAAAATACTAACATTTGAAAAATAGCTTTTCAAATATTGCACATTTTTTGTCATGGAGAGAGAAACATATCTACTGCAGAGGTAACTTTTGAGAACATGCTTTTAGAAAAACAATTACTTAATATTACATGAATTTAGTAGTTTCAAGACAAATTGAAGAGATATGAAAGGAATTGCTGAATTGTAGGGAAATACTTCATTGTAAGAGCTCAGAAATGCTAGTTCTTAAAAGGTCATTATTGCTAAGAAAAAAAGATTACAATAAAGACTTCCTGTTACTTTATTTCCAATATAATTTCCTTACTATGTATGAGTATAGAATCAGTCTTTATGGCTAGAAAGGTGGCTGAGTGGTAGAGTGCTTGCCTTGCATGCATGAGATCCTGGGTTCAATTCCTTAGCACCACATAGGCAGATAAAGCCGGAAGTGGCACTGTGGCTTAAGAAGAGGTAGAATGCTAGCCTTGAGCTGAAGAGCTGGCCAAAAAAAAAAAGAATCAGTTCCTTAAATGTGAAAGATTAAGTGGTGGGTTCTGGTACATGATTCTCTTCCATTTTCAGGTTGTTACGATAATATTTTATAACATGAGTTTTTCTTTTGGTTGTCCTTTAGTGATTTGTTTAGTTGTTTTTCTTAGTGGTTTTGATTTATGTTACATGTTCTCAAGGAAAAATATCTATTTCCTAAATTCTCTAGTGAAAAATTCAAAGAATTTCCTAAATCCTGTAATGTTTAGTAATGTCTGGTTGGGTGTTGGTGGCTCATGCCTGTAATCCTAGCTATTTCAGTTCAGGCAGAAGAGTTTGCTAGATTCTTTCTTCAAAATAACTGGCAAAAAGCAGGACTAGAGGTAGGCTTATGTGCTCAGTGCCAGCCTAGCGAGTGCAAGGCAGTACCAACACCAGAAGAAAATAGAATATCTAGGAGAACTTTGTATCCCTTCCATCTTCTTGGCTGAGCGTGGAGAACACCAGAAGCAAGGAGTCAGGTTTCACCAGGTAGTTGAAGCAAGAAAAAGACCCGAACACGTCATTTGGAAAACATCATGGATGGGAAGAAAATGAGATTCCTCTTCCAAGAAGAAAGCAGAAAACAAGAATCAAAACCTTGGTGCTGGGAAGGTGGCTCAGTGGTAGAGTGCTTGTCTTGCATTCATGAGGTCCTAGGTTTGATTTCTCAGCACCACATAAGCAGGAAAAGCCAGATGTGGCACTGTGACTCAAGTGGCAGAGTGCTAGCCTTGAGCTGAAGAACTGAGGTACAGTACCCAGACCCAGAGTTCAGGCCCCACGACCAAAAAAAAAAAGTGTGTGCGTGGGGGACTGAGAAGGTGGTTCAGTGGTAGAGTGCTTGCCTTGCATGCATGAGGCCCTGGGTTCAATTCCTTGGCACCACATGAGCAGAAAAGGCTGGAAGTGGCGCTGTGGCTCAAGTGGTTGAGCACTAGCCTTGAGCTGAAGAGCTGAGGGACAGCACTCAGGCCCAGAGTTCAGGCCCATGACCGACCAAAAAAAAACCCCAAAGCAGCATTCAGTGAGGTTAGACTGCAAGGATGAAGGTAACATCTGAGGTTTCTTGGCTGCTTTTCTGATGCTTTAGAGGGGTGGATAATCTTGTTAGAGCAACAGCCATGACTGAGACTGATAGTGCCCTGGAGGATGGTTACCTCCCCAAGCAGTCCAGAATCAAGCCAGTGATGTCAGCAGCATTTCAAGTTCATCCCCAAGACTAAGTGGATAACCACCTCACTTTTGGGTGTGAAGACAGAGTATGGGTATGCCTCTGTGTGTATGTGATGTGTGTGTGTGTGTGGTGTGTGTGTGTGTGTGTGTGTGTGTGTGTGTGTGTGTCCCCTAAGCAGACCCTGGGCAGGGACTTGTTTGTTATAGTCTGTTACTGCTGTTCTGTGACCAGTACAACAGATAAGTCTATTCAGAAGTCCTGGAAGGCTTTTTCTAAGCCTGTGGTCCCTGCCCTACCACTGATTCCCCAACCTGTAAGTTGTATTTTAGTGTTTGTTGCCATGTAGTTTTTGTATTTTGTTTTCTTTTATTATATGACAGTATACTAAACAACAGTAACAAAAAAGGCCAGGTGCCTGTGGCTCACACTTGTAATCCTAGCTTCTAAGGAGGCTGAGATCTGATGATCACAGTTCAAAGAAAGCCCGGGCAGGAACGTCCAGGAGACTCTTATCTCATCTCCAATAAACCACCAGAAACCCAGAAGTAGCGCTATGGCTCAAGTGGTACAGCACTTCCTTTGAGCTGAAGAGCTGAGGGACAGTGCCCAAGCCCAGAGTTCAAGCCCCATAACTGACCAAAAAAAAAAAAAAATCAAACGAATGAATGAATGTCTAAATGCTTTCATTGCCCTTCAGTTATATATCAAGTACTTTGTTATTTGTCTCTTTGTGGTGCTGGGTTTGTATATGCTAGGCACTGAGTTTTATCCCCAGCCTCATGGCACTGCTTTAAATACTGATGTGTTAATTGATTTGAAGACACAGTAGTCTTAGTCTTAATAATGTGCACACTTTACAGGTGAGGTGCCTGAGGCACAGAGAGGGTTGACTTCTCCTAAATCCCATAGATAACACTGGTAGTATAGCATTTCCTAGGCAATGTGGCTTTTGAACTGGGATGTTTTCTATCTCCATTTTTATGTTGCTCTGGAGAATTCCAAAGCCCTGATTTCTGCCACCGTCCCATTC